ATCACCTACAGATATGGTAAAACTTCTCCACTGTGTACAGGCAGATCATTTTGGCAGGACTGAATGTGGCCACTTCTTTATTTGTAAGTCCTGGAAGAAGACTTAGGATGAAACCTCAAGTGGTACTGCTAATGCCATAAAGACACAATGCCTAGCAAGATATATAGGAATAAAGTTATGCTCCACATTTTAGAACACAACTCAAAAATATGACATGAAAATTGCTTTCATTACCTGATCCTTAAAGATCCTGAATAATTTTTTGTTATTATTACAAGCATTATTTTTATTTTTTTTTTTAATTTTATTTCTTTATTTGACAGAGAGATACAGAGTGAGAGAGGGAACACAAGCAGTGGGAGTGAGAAAGGGAGAAGCAGGCTTCCTGTGGAGCAGGGAGCCTGATGCAGGGCTCGATCCCAGGACGCTGGGATCATGACTCCAGCTGAAGGCAGAAGCTTAACGACTGAGCCACCCAGGTGCCCCACAAGCATTATTTTTTAAATAATGAAGTATCTCATACATCCAAGACTATATAAATATGTATCTATATGCACTACACACGTGTATAACATGTTATTTTAAAAACCCACAAATTTACTACCCAAGGTAAAAATTAGAGAAAATATTAAACTTTTCACAAATTTCCAAGACATTCTTACAGAGAAGAGACAATCACACCATTTTTCTTCAGATCTTTCCATTATCTTACCGAATACTGTAATCTGTGCTATCCAAACACCTTCCTGAATTTCTTGTTCTTTTAAAAATGAAGTGATTATTTTAAATTTCCAGTACTAGATTCATGGGTAGGCTGTCAAATAGCTACTGCATTTTACCTCAGAAGAGTTTCCTGGATGCATGTACACCCAAAAAAATGACATTAAGACCTTTGTTACAAACTCACCACAGAAATACATTGAAAACAAGATAAGAAATGCAACCAAAGTGTGCCTCCTTTTCAAAAACACCAGATGATACCAAAACACATATCACAGCTACAAGTTGCATAGAGAGTGGGAAGACTTTATAGCTTCCCGAGAATTATTAATGGCAAAAACTCCACAATTAAGTCATGAAACCTCGACTTCCAGGAATATTCTTCCCTCCTCTTTGCCCTTTTGAAAACCTCCACCATCACAGAATCCTTAGCTTCTACTGGATTAGAATCTCTCCAGGGACAGAGGCCATATATTACTCATCTTTGTGTCTCCCGCATAGAATTGAGTCAATAATGTTTGTTATACATAACATAAAATCCAGTAAATGAGCCTCAGGAGCTTCAGTCCCAATACAAAACTGGAAAGAGAAGTTTAAGAATAGAAAGGAAAAGAATAAAGCTATAAATATTTGAGCAACATATTTTCTTACCACCTAATTCAGAATCATGTACTAACACTGCAAAAAGGAATTTGTAAAAAATAAAGAGTAAGGGATGCCTGGGTGGCTCAGTTGGTTAAGCAACTGCCTTCGGCTCAGGTCATGATCCCGGAGTCCTGGGATTGAGTCTCACATCGGGCTCCCCTGCTTCTCCTTCTGACCCTCTCCCCTCTCATGCTGTTTCTCTCTCTCTCTCTCAAATAAATAAAAATCTTAAAAAAAAAAATAAAAGAATAAAAGACATGACCTTAAAGTTCTCCTTACTATTCAGCACACTCAAAAACTGTCACAGAATCTTTCACCTACAACTCATACCAACATCTTCATCTCCAAATAAAGCTCTATGTATTTTAAAAGGCTTTCAAATGAGACCTAAATATAAAAAGGTTCTACTTCATCACAATTTAAGTTCCTGGAATTGTATGCATAATTTGTGTGATTGTGCTTATGCTCATTTAACAGTGAGGGTCTTTCATCAGATTCTTAGAAGGATAAGTGACCCAAAAAAACTTTAAGAACTACTAATCTAGCATATCAAAAACTCTATTTTCCAGAGATAATACAGTTAAGCTGCCTTAGTTCGAGCATTTTTCCCTCATATTCACTGACGGGATCCTTAGTGCAAAATTAGTCTTTAAAGAACTTCAGCTGAGCCAAAAAGTTCCAATATCCACAGGAATGTATAGCAACAATTCGCAGATCCTCAAAAGTTTTTTCATAAATGCCAAAAGAAAATGCGTAAGAAGGCACACTGTATCACAAACTTGCCATGCTTTTAGATTGGTAAACAGACGTGTATCCTTCCATATAAAAATGTCTGGGATCTGTAAATTCCCTCCAAACTGAACAGATTTTTTAGGAAAGTTTTAGTTTCAATTCCAACACTGACTCGTCCTCCTTGCTGGACTTAATAACCTACCACTGTCAAGGCAAGTCCCCTCCTATGCACCCAGGTTGTTTCAACAGGGTCACCTTGATTATTCTCACCCCAAGGCAGGGACCACTTACTGAGTAATTGTTCAATAAACTGTTGAATGAATGAAAGATCCTCCCTCCCACAGACCTAAAGTTAAGCGGTCAGCTGCTCCAGTACAAGTGTAAGCTGTGAAAGACTTCCCTCCCTCAAATACACAAGCTAAGTGTCAGAAATGCCCTGATTCCTCCACAAACGAGAAATAATCTAGTTGTGGATGCCCATCTCCTACACGCCAACCTGGCAGGGCCAACCTATGATCCGTACATATGTGTGACACAACTGATCCCTGGCAGATCCGATCCAGCCAGTCGCATGTGCCCCTATCTTTCTGGAACCCCCGACTGGTTTGACAAGACCTCCGGAGGTGCCCGAGGCGTGTGGTGAACGGACTACTAGACAAGCAGCCACAATACGTGAGGTGGAGTCTCAACTTTGTCACCAACTTAAAGTGTGTGACCTTGGAAAAAGGATCTCTTTATGCCTCCATTTCCTACTTTATAAATGGGAGAAAACATCCATTCTACCATTTTCTACCATTTTCACACAGAGATGTAAGATCACAAAGACAGAAAGAGCATTCTGAAAAGCTTTATTCTACGGTAAGTGTTACCACCAACTCAGGCCTTCTTCACAGCCTCGCGGGCACTGCTCGCTTACACATATTCTGGGGGTTCGCACTGACACAATCCACTCTCGTCAGAGGAACTCGTCCTAAGACCACAACCGGCTACGACCAACGTCCCCCATCCCCGGCCTCACACAGAGATGCTCCGCCGTGCGCGATACCGCCATGACTCCTCTTTCCCAACCAGCAGTAAGGCGCTTCCAATTTCTACAATACACACGCGTGTCAACCGGAAGGGAACATCCCCAATTTTCTTTTAAAAATGAGGTAACTCGTGAGGGGAACTCCAGCACACTTACACAAACCCGAGCCAACTCTTCCGGAACACTTTCCTGCCTCGCACACACACACAAACACAGCCGCTCGACACCAGCAGACCATCTGTCTTCCAGACCAAAAACATGTCTTTCCATGTCCAAACTCCCCAGGAACATCCATTCAACTTACACCCCCGAGGTGGGCCGAGCGCGCCAGGTCGAGCCCCCCCCGAAGCCCACCTCCCGGGCCACTCTCCCCAGACCCGGGGGGATGCTCCCGCCGCGCCTCCGCGACGCGCCAACTAACCTGTCAGGGGCTCGGGCGACTCCGCCTCCGCTCGCCGACTTTCCCGCCCCCTCCCCCCAGGCCGGGAGCCCGCCCGTCAGGGACACCCCTTACCCCCCCGCCGGGAGGGACTTCCCGGTACGCTCAGGATCCCCTCGCCTCCCTCCCCTCCCCCACCCCTGCCGCCGCCGCTCCACGGAGGTCCAGGTCCGGGAGGTGACAGTGGCTCCCGGGCCGCCCAGGCTCGCCTCGCTCACGGAGCACTTAGGCCCGAAGCCTCCGCGGGCGGTTCTGCTCACCGTGTCAGAGGCCGAGGCCGAGCGAGAGGAGAGTGCAGGGAAGCGGGGAAGGGGGGCGGCCGCCAGCAGGCTCCTCCGCGTCCCCGGGTCGGCGGCGGATCCCTGCCGCTTGTCAGGAGGCGGCCCGCGGGTGCGCGGACTGGCGGAAATGCGAGCGAAGAGAAGGGAAAGGCGTGGGGCTGAGCAAGGGCCACCGAGGGGAGGCGGTCCCGCAACCGAGACGGGGATCGTCTCCCCCTCCGCAAAGCGAACCCAAAATGGCGGCGGGAGCGGCGGCGGCAGAGCGGCGGCGGCGGCGGCGGCTGCTCGGGAGGGAGGGCGGGCGCGAGCGAAGGGCGCCTCGTGCCCCCCCACCTCCCACCAGTCCCTCCCCGCGGCCTACCCCCGCGGCCCCCCCGCCCCCGACTCGGACGGCAGAGCGCGCACGCCCGCCCGCACGCGCCGGACGGTCTCCGGGCTCGCCGCTCGCTCTCCCGACCCCCGCCTTCGGCCGCCTGGCGCACCCGCCGGCCCGTCGGCGCTCGCTCGCACGGCCCCCCGGTCCCCCTCGGCCCCTGTCAGGACGGTCGGGCGCGGGCCCTCACGCGTACCTTCGGCGGCGCGAGCCCCAGCCTCCTCCTCCTCCACCGCCTCTTCTTTCCTCCCCCCCTCCCCGCCCCCACGGCCACCAACCGCCGCCACGGCCGCCGCCGCCGCCGCCGCCGCCACCGCCGCCGCCCCCCCACATGCCCTCCGCCCCTCGCGCGTGCGCCTCCCACAATCCCCCCCGCCGGACCGTTCCATTCCCGCGGCCGCAGGAGCGGGAGGGGGGAGGGCCGGCGCCGCGGCGGGGCTGTCGTGAGGGCTGGAGCCACGCGAGGGGCGGGCAGAGGCCCGGGCCGACTCACCTCCCCGGCCGCCGCGCCGCGCCGCCGAGGCTGCCTTCCGCGCTCCGCCGCCGGGCCGCGGTGGGCGCCTCGAGGGCGGCCTGGCTCCCCTCCGCTGGCCGGCGGTTGGAGGCCGCGGCGGCTGCGCGGTGAGCAGCTTCCTGCCGAACGGCCCGAGCTCGCCTGTCTTCTGCGGGAAGCGCGGAGAGCGGCCGGCTGTCGGCGGTGCGTGCTGCTCGCGGCCCTGGGACCCCCGCCGCGCCACTCGCCGGGGAAGGAGCCGGCGCCGGGGCTGCGCCCTCGAGGGAAGGGTGCAGGATCCGAGCCCCCGCGAGGTAGGGGGTGGGGCCCTGGGACCGGCGGCTGTCCTGGGGGCTTCCTTCTGGGCTCCGCGTGGCGGACGTGGACCCGCCGGGGAACCCGCGCGCTGGTCGCCTTTCTTCCTTTGTGTTGTAAAGCGCAGCCTGGACTGCTTGGGTTTCTCGCCACTGTGTCCCGCACGATGCGTGTGAGCACTTTCACGCGTTCCTCATCAGGCAGCTTGAAGGCAGAGGGTAAAGAAACCACGTATTTCTAGTTCAGTGCTGGCCTCAGTCTTCCAGTTCTAGGCGTGTCCTTCAGAAAGTTGTTTTTCTTCGTCATTTATTAAAAAAAAACAACAACAACAACGAAAAAGTGGACGTAAAAATTAGTTGAGTCCAAATCGGTCTTCAGTGTTGGTGAGATACTACACGCCAAGCAGAGAGTGTTCCGGTTCACGGACCTGGTGCAGGTCAGGTTTGTGGGTGCAGTTGGTAGTGTGTGTCCTGTTCTCCAAATGGTTCACAAAACGGTGCGAACCGAGACCTGGCAGATTTCTGCAGCTCCTGATGCTGCTTTCTCAACATTTGGCCCCAACACCTACTTTTTCTTAATGAGGGAATTCAGGAAAACTATGAACTGTCAGAACCCGAAGTCTGCCTAATCCAGTTTTTAGTTTCATCCAAAGGGTAAACCAGAATACATTCCCGGAGGGATCTCCTTGGGTTCCCTTTCCTTCACTTCTGTGGACTTGTAGGGATCCAGGAAACAGTTTGAAAATCACTCTACTAGATTGAGCTCAAAACCGTATTCAAGCTCTAAAGCTCAAGTAGACATATCCCCTTTTCCACATTTCAATGTATGGATCGGGTTTTGTTTGCTTTGTATTTTTAAGGTAAAGAGGAAGTCAGCTTTAATGACCTCACTATATGTTTGCTTGTCCTAACCGTGTATTAAGTCTCAGCTCTTTTATGGAGCCTATTTAGGTTTACTTTGATCTTTCTTTAATTGTGTTGTATATGCAAATGTGTTACCCTACCAACATTTTTAATTTGATGGCAGAGACTAGGTCTAACACTTCTTGTGTATTCTTTTATAACCCTGGTGCAATGTAAGTAGTGGAAATGTTAAAAGAATGTTAGATACTTAAAATCTGAGAAGGGAAAGAGAAGCATTTGTGGAATGCCATATCGGTAGAGCGTGTGTTCCTGCTTTAATAACGCTTTGAGGTATATCATCAGTCTGAGGCTCAGAGAAGTCCAGTAATTTTATCTTGAGATTTCACTTTACCTGGGGTGCCTGGGTGGCTCAGTCCGTTAAGCGTCTGACTTCTGCTCAGGTCATGATCGCAGGGTCCTGGGATTGAGCCCTGCTCAGGAGGGAGTCTGCTTGTCCCTCTGCCCCTCCCCCACTCATGCTTGTGCTCTCTCTCAAATAAAATCTTTAACTGTGCCTGTCCTAAAAATCTTTTTCACGATACCACATTGTTTTCGTAGTAAAAATTTGTCATCACCAACATAAGTATATATGCTACGAAGAAAAGACAACGGATTCCACTGCACCCGTATACAAAGAAGGGTGCTTACTTATGGTTTCTGCCTTCATCTTGCTTTCATGAATTGTCAGCTAAGTATAGACAAGATAGTACCCTGTTCTTTTGTATAAGCTCCAGTGTCTACTAAACTATACTAAGTACTCAGTAAAATGACCTTATTGAATGAATGAAACCTGAATTACTTGAACCAAGGAAGGTGTGGAAGACAGAATAATGGTCCCCCAAAGATGCCCATGGCCCAGTCCCTGGATCCTGTGCATATGTTACATGGCAAGAGGGAATTAAGGACGCAGATGGAATTAAGTTTGCTAATCAGCTAACCTTAAAATAGGGAGATTATCCTGGATTATGTGGTAGGCCCACTATAAGTCCAAGAGTTGTGAAAAGATGGAAGAGGGAACAGAAAAGTCAATGTCTGAATGCTGCTGTATGACAAAGGCTTGACCAGCTGTTGCAGGCTTTGAAGATGAAAGAGCAGTCTCTAAAAACTGCAAAAGTCAAAAAACCAGGTTCTCTACTGGAGCATCCAGCAGAACACAACTGTACATATACACTTTGATTTTGGACTTCTAAACCACAGAACTCTGAGGTGACAAACTTGTGTTGTTTTATGCTACTAAGTTTGTGGTAATTTGTCACAGCAGCTAGAAACTAATGCAGAAAGGGGAGCCAAATCATGATTAAGCTCCAGAATACCTGCTTTGGATTGTGGTTTTGTGCTTTAATTCAAGAATTCGTTTTGTTTGGGGCACCTGGGTGGCTCAGTCGTTAAAGTGGCTGCCTTCCGTTCCACTCAGGTCATGATCCCAGGATCCTGGGATCGAGCCCCGCACCGGCCCCCTGCTCAGCGGGAAGCCTGCTTCCCCTCTCACACTCCCTTTGCTTGTGTTCCCTCTCTCTCTGTCTCTCTCTCTCTCAAATAAATAAATAAAATCTTTAAAAAAAATTTTAAAAATAAAAATTAAAGAAGAGTTTGTTTTGTTTTTAAGATTTTATTTGAGAGAGCACGAGCAGGCGGAAGGATGGAGGGGAATGAGCAGAGGGAGAGGGACAAGCAGACTCCGTGCTGAGCATGGAGCCGGACACGGGGCTTGATCCCAGGACCCTGAGATCATGACCTGAGCCGAAATCAAGAGTCGACGCTTAACCGACTGTGCCACCCAGGCACCTCTGTGCTTTGATCTGTAAAATGAGGGTATGGTTCAACCGAAAGTTTGCCCCAAGTAAAGTGATCTGCACTCAACCAAGCTGCCTAGATTTCCAGTATTTCCCTGCTGCTCTGCTTCTGGCATCAGTCCCCAAGCTGTAAATGGACAGCTGGGTTCTATGGTCCTACTGTACAGCAGCAGTCTTAGCTAACTAAGCTGCCTTCAGACTTGGCTACTAGAATAGAAGCAATTAAACATTTATTTCATGGTGCTTCCTTGCTGGGGTGTTGTCTAAATGCAGGATAGATAAGCAGGAAAACCTCTTCACTACAAACTTCAAAATAAGGTTTCAAATGTTAAAAATTTTTAAAGATAAAAGTCAACTAGAATATCATCATGATTGACTTTACATCTGACAAGTTGTGGGTAAATGCTATGTAAGCATAATAGTCTAAATAATTTTCTTTTAACAAGGGAAGAACTCTGAAATTTTGGAGGTGGGGGGACCAAGATTTTAGACTACTTCTTCAGGTGATGGATTGCTTATTAGTAAAATATCAGTGGACACTCCAGACTGCATGGGTGCAAAGCCTAGGTGTGAAAAGTTAGGTAGAACCTTAGTGGTAGTAACACATTGTAGACTTAAATACTACACTTACCTCCATTTAGAAATGAGGAAACAGCCACACAAAGTTTAAGTAACTTGCTCAAGGTCACGCAGCTATGAAGTAGGAGAGCCAGGTTTCAAATTTCAACACTTAGATTATACAGTCCATGGTTTTAACCATTCTGCCATACTTGCCACTCTGTTTTCTTTGTCTGTAAATTGGAGATACTACCTACATCATAGGGTTGTTGTAAAAGTAAAATGAGCTAATTCACATAGAGCACTTAGAGCAGTCCCTGACTTACTGAAAGTGTTAGTACTACGTTAGCTATTGCTGTCGTTGGAGCCCTGCATTATTTTCCAACATGCTTGAGTCCCTGGAAGAAAGGAAACATCAGTGCGGATGCTCCTTACTTCTGCCTTGACCAGCACAGTCCTTTTTTCTCTTTTCTCTGTTAGTGCTGTCATTGCTCTTCGCTCGGTAAAAGTTCAATTGCCAGGGGAGGGAAATGTCTGGAAAACACACTAGAGTGCCCTTGTTTTACAACTAGGAAGCTTGGGTGCAGAGAGAAGGAAAAAAAGACTTCTACGAGCTTAAAACAATGTTTTTTCCTGTAGAAAATGTTACGTGAAACGTACTCATCTGAGAATGCAAAGGGCTTATCAGACAGTCTTGTGGTAGATTTAGATGTGGTGTTGGGGTAAGGACCCACTACTTTTAATTACTTCTCTTCAATCTCTAACAGTTTGATGCAGCAAGGTTTTCTATCCACAGAAGTTTAATTCATTCGGAAAATTATGTGTTAGCTTTAAAGGATTTCACTAAGGGTTTGTTGATTTAATTTTGTAAAATTTACTCTTTGCCTAGGTAATATAGCAAAGGGGTTTAGATTCCAAAAGTACAAAAGATACCACCCTCCCGTTTCCTGCCCCCATGGGAACCCATGCCTTCTCCCTGAAAGCAACCAGTATTAACAATTTTTGTATATCCTTCAAAATATGGACCTTTTTACAAATTGTATATATATTTTCCCCCTTTTACACAAGTGATAGCTAACTGTATACATTGTTCTGTGCTTTTAATCCCCTACTTAATACATATTGGAGATTTTTCTTCATTAGTATGCAGAGAGCTCCTAGGGTTGTTTTGTTTCTAAACAGCTGCATGATGTTGCATTGTATGGATATGCTGTTTATCCGCTGGTGACAGATATTTCGGTTCTTTCCATTTTAAGATTAGAAACAGTGTTGTAATTGAATAATCTAATATACATAGCAATCGCTTTTATTATGTCACTGTAAAAATGGTTTTGCTTAGGTCCCATAAAAAAAAAATCTTTTTAACATGGACACCTTACTGAAGTTTGGACAGTTTTTATTGCATAAACAATATTATTAATATTGTTAATTATTGTTAATAACATTACAAATCAAAATCAAGAAAAAAGTTACCTGCAACATGAGCACCACCATAGATCAGATTGTTTTTGTGTATCTTTTTCTTTAAGTCTTCACGCATCTCCACTTCACAACACTAATCTAATGCACCATTGGGTTGAGCTGAACAACCTCAACAACCTGAGCCTTAAAAGTTGTAGGGTGGTAAGGCTGGGCATGCACGTTCATGTAACATGCCTTCTGTGAAGGCTTCAGAAGCCTCTCCGATGTTTCACGGGTTCAGTTTGTTGAGGAGGATAGTAGCAGTAGTACAACCCAGAGCTTGCA